CCAGTCATTTTGGGGTACATACCACAGGCCAAACTATAACACTTACAGTCTAATGCTATATATGGTTGAATAGCCCGTATCCTGAAGTAGTTGAATCACTACTAAAACACCAATAAAATATTGACCCTGACCTGCCGTGGCCGACCGACCAAAAATGACTTTAACATGGGATTTCCCATAGAGAAAATTAAACTTTAATAACTTCTGTCATACTCAACATAGAATCATGAAACAACTTTTAAACAACTTCTTTAATCATAATAAAGGTGTCTAAACACAAAAAGAACCAAAAATCTAACGTCCATAATTTTCGATATTTTCCCATATAAGTCTATGGACGAATTATACTAAATACTTCAAATGATCCCTAATCCCTTCCAATGTATTTCCAAACATTTCCAGCCGTTGTAAAACATAACCTAAGGCTATTCTAGCCCTTACAAACAATGTACCAAAGATGGTTAACCATTACCCTACGAGGACTCAGTGGTCAACTCTCTTTGCTCCCTCAACTCAGTTTATAATGTATTACTTTCTGAACTTCTTTGTCAGTTGCAATAAACATTTTCATACGCTAATTTAATTGTCTCTAATTGTATTCAATCGTTTACCAACGCTTTCTGTTCTTCCTTGCTGGGTGCAAGAGTTTAAGTTTACTTGTGTTCAAAGTCTATCTTTGTTTGAAAGTAGTTGAAGACTCGCTTGAGTTTAGTGTTTGAAGGCAGTTTTATTCAGCCGTGAACCATCTATTTAAAATTTCAATTAAACCAACAGGTTATGGGCCCAGCTCGTTTCATCTAATATCGCTGTGTGTGCTCTGTTTAACGTGCTTAGTGAAATCCAGGATCTACTTGTGTCTTATTATTTTCATCATTTCACTGAAATCATTTTAAATTTATCAAGAGTATTTCTACTCCACTGTGATCAAAGCAATTGTGTGCTGCTCAACTTAAGTATCAACATCCTTGTGTGTTACTTCAACAATACTTCAACAATCCTCGAGTTAATTCATCATATAAACATTTATCAACATTATCATCGACATCTCTGTGGAATTCGGCGATATGGCAAGCAAGGATATCAGCGTAGTGAAACTCTCGTCTAACAACTACCTACTATGGAAACAATCGTTAGAAGCGTACTGTGAGGCCAAAGGTGTTTGGGACATCGTGATTGGGGAAAGCGTTAGACCAACACAGCCGCAAGAAGGAGAAGGCGAAGAGGACCTGGCCATAGACATCGCCAACTGGAAGCGTAATGACGCATTGGCCAGAAGCATAATAATGTCATCAATGACAGAAGGTAATGAACACCTTGTTTTAAATAAAGTTACAGCCTTTGAAATGTATACCAATATTGTAAACGCAAAAGAAAAGCGTACAACGTCGAATGTTTGGCAAAATAGACGAAAGCTAATTGATCTAAAGTTTACCTCAAGCCATAATATATCTAGCTACTTCAGTGAGCTTGAGACATGTGTTCGACAGCTGAACGATTTAGGTATTGTTACTGATGAGGGTCAATTAATCATTAAGATCTTAGACGATCTCCCAATTCAATACGAATCTTTCAGGCAGACTATTGACATGCAAATCATTGCAGGAGCCAATATAAATCTAAAAGATCTAAAATCAAGTTTACTTTTAGCTGAATCGCGTCTAAACGCCAATAAGAGAGATAACAGAAATGAAGCGCTGGTATCTCATTCTAATAACAAACATAAACCAAGAAATTTTGAAAGACGTTGTTGGGAATGTAATGGCAAGGGTCACTCACGCTCATCATGCAGAAAATTTCTAGCTAACCAAAATAACTTTCGCAATAATAACAATAATCATTTTAACAATAATAATCAAAATAACAACATGTACGCCCAAAACAACAACAATAATAGCTACAATAACCGAAACTTTAATAACAATCGAAATTTCAACTCAAATAGAAACTTTAACAATAATAGAAACTTTAACAACTACAATCAGTCGAGAAACAATAACTCTGGTTATCGAAACAACAACAACTTCAACAACAATAGACAATCCAATTTCGGTAGAAACAATCAAAATCAAAACACTGCTAATAACGCTCAAGCTAATTATAACAATAACAGCAACAATCACCAGAATGAAAGTCATTCTTCAAATAACAACAACAATTTCTTGCTCGCTGCATGTGCCAACTCTGATGTCCAACCAGAATGGATATTAGATACTGGTGCATCATTTCATTTGACCAGTAACATTAAAAATTTCCAGAATCTTGAAGAGTTAGACGCACCAATTCCATTAGTAATTGGTGATGGCAAACAAATTGAAGGTATTGCTAAAGGTGATTGCTTAGTTGAATGTTTTAATGGTTTAGAATGGTCCAAAGGAAAATTGACTGATGTATTGTTTGTTCCAGATTTGGGCAACTTTAATCTTTTCTCCTGGGGCCAATCTAAGAAGAAAGGATATGGATTAAGATCAGTAGAAGATTCAACTGAAATCTTTGACCCAAAGACAAACAAAACAATTGTCAAAGCAAATGAAACAGGGAATACATTTAAACTTGAAATGAGAGTATTACAAAAGGATTGTCATCATGCTTTAACTGCTAAATCATATACCTTAATGGATTGGCATCGGAGACTTGCTCACATTAATGTATATAAGATAATTGAGATGAGCAAACAGGGTTTACTTCCACCTATTACAACTGATGATAAACTAAGTGAATTTGTGTGTGACGGTTGTGTGAA